ATAATCTGGTGGAGTTTGCAGAAAACAATTTGATTTCGATTTTATATTAGTTTATTAATTATTGCTGTATAGCAATGTAAATATTCATGAGTTTGGCAGACAATTATTAAATAATAAAACAGTAAAACAACATGAAAATCACCACAGTGGTAGACAGTGAGATGTAGAACAATAATCTGGTGGAATTTGCAGAAAACAATTTGATTTGCATTTTTTATGAATTTATTAAATATTGCTGTATAACAAGGTATACAGTAGAGGATTTTGGCAGGTAATTATTAAATAATAAAACAGTAGATCAATATGAAAATCACCACAGTGGTAGACAGTGAGATGAAGAACAATAATCTGGTGGAGTTTGCAGAAAACAATTTGATTTAAAAATTTTATGAATTTATGAAATATTGCTGTATAAAAAGGTATACAGTATAGGATTTTGGGAGGCAATTATTAAATAATAAAACAGTAGATCAATATGAAAATCACCACAGTGGTAGTCAGTGATATGAAGAACAATAATCTGGTGGAGTTTGCAGAAAACAATTTGATTTAAAAATGTTATGAATTTATGAAATATTGCTGTATAACAAGGTATACAGTATAGGACTTTGGGAGGCAATTATTAAATAATAAAACAGTAGATCAACATGAAAATCACCACAGTGGTAGTCAGTGATATGAAGAACAATAATCTGGTGGAGTTTGCAGAAAACAATTTGATTTCAATTTTTTATGAATTTATTAAATATTGCTGTATAACAAGGTATACAGTATAGGACTTTGGCAGTTAATTATTAAATAATAAAACAGTAGATCAATATGAAAATCACCACAGTGGTAGTCAGTGAGATGAAGAACAATAATCTGGTGGAGTTTGCAGAAAACAATTTGATTTCGATTTTTTATTAATTTATCAAATATGGCTATATAGCCAGGTATACAGTATAGGACTTTGGCAGTTAATTATTAAATAATAAAACAGTAGATCAACATGAAAATCACCACAGTGGTGGTCTGTGAGATGTAGAACAATAATCTGGTGGAATTTGCAGAAAACAATTAGATTTTATTTATTTTATTATGAATATTTTTTAAAAAGTCTGCCGACACCAAGCGCATACACCTTGAGCCTACCACGCAACCTCGTGTAGACGCGCAATCTATTTTTAAGCGTAGATGGCGTGACCGCGCTTTTCTGAAGCACAGATGGCGTGACCGCAGTGAAAAACAGAGACTGCAACCGGACCCATGCAAAAACAAGGATAATATCGGAAGGACATTACATGATGTAGTCACGCAATGCTTGCTGACGTTGTTAACATTAACAATTTGAGAACATAGTATAGCTACTTTGCACGGTTTTGCGTGAAATGATAACTTATAAGCAATTGTTAGATTTAATCAGCGCGATTTACTGCAATGTCAGAACCAGAACAAAAGTGAATGTTTCTTACTAGTTCAGATGACATTTCCCGGTGAAAATTCTTATGTTGGTCATACTTCCAAAAAGAATAATCTGTGATTCTGAATGACAATATCCACATCGGCGCGGTGACTGACAGCTGCACACTCTCCTCAAACAGTGTGTTCATCCGCGCTGTGCCGTGTCGAGGGTGTTGAACTACAACCCACGTAAAGTTGATAATTCCGCGAATGACTGCAATTGCAGATTTCGAACAGAGATGGCGACAAAGAGGAAAAATGCCGGACTGCAGCTTTAAGTCGAATCTGAAAGTTAGTTTGGCCGGAAGCTAGTTATTTTACTTTATAAAGTTTTATATATGAATATTTTTCTTACACAAACTCATCGTTTTGCTTCAGAAGGCCTTTATTAACCCCCTGGAGGCGTGTGAAGTTCGTTTATAATGGACTGATGCACTTTTATGAGCTTCAAACTGATGGTTGCAATCCACTGCCATTATAAAGCTTGGAAGAGCCAGGATATTTTTTAATATAACTCTTGATTGTATTCGTATGAAAGAAGAATGTCATATGATGACTTGAATCATGTTCTAATTTTCCTTTTAAAGGGAACTACTCCTTTAAAGGGGTCATATAATGCCATTTTTGTACAAGCTAATATGATTCTTTAGGGTCTAAATTAAAACTTTGTAATATACTTTAATTAAAAATTCTCATTAGTATTGTAAGAAAACACTTATTTTACCTGGTCAAAAACGCCGTTTCAGTGCATATGACTTTAAATGATAATGAGCTTTGCTCACTCCGCCTCTCTGTTCTGTGCGTACACCGTTTGTAACACAATAACACAATAACCATAACGCGTTGTTCATTATAAACGTGGGATTATGAATTTTATTGAGAACGTTGTACATAGAAAACATGCCGTAATGTACCCTGAGTGTAAACCGACGCATTCATCGTGAAGCGTGCAGCTAGCGATTTGCAAAGATTAATATAAATATTAATATAAAGATTAATAAAACGTTACACTCACTTTAGTTCTTCTGAAGGTTCAGCAGGAACACGAATAGGTTCCGATCCTTTATTCAGGTGCAGCTTCTCAGCAAAACCAGCTTTATACTGATCCTCGTTTATAAAGCAGTCCACTGAGAAATGATTCGCGCAAACATGAGAGCATTGACGTTCCTCGTGGGGAATATTCCCTTCGAAAACAAACTCAGCCACTGCGTCTTCAGCGGTTCGGATTTAGGAACATTAAAATGACTGCTGTGTTCGTTATTGCACCCAAGAACAGAACACCACATCGCTTAGACGCCATTCTGCTCATAGACAGTGCTCCAGTATATCAACAATGACCGCGCCGGTCCGCGCAGACTATGATTGACAGGACGAGCGAGGGCGGGTCTGTGTTGAATCACTGCTGTCAATCAACAATCGTGGGAGGGGCGTCCGTTTTATTGACGTCACAAAAACGAACGGCTCAATTTGAGGCAGGGGAAAACATATAAGGAGATTAAAACAAAAACACTGGATGGATTTTTATCATTATATGATGTTTGTGTACAGGCACTGCCAACACACATTTCAGTACAATCAACTTGTAAAAGTGCATGTACCATTATATGACCCCTTTAAAGAGAGGGAAATATGTGGAAACATCTAATGTTTATGTTTTATTGCATTTTATTATATAAACACACATATTATATCTATCTATCTATCTATCTATCTATCTATCTATCTATCTATCTATCTATCTATCTATCTATCTATCTATCTATCTATCTATCTATCTATCTATCTATCTATCTATCTATCTATCTATCCAATATAATTTATAATTACAGCAATATATATATATTTATGGTGATAATTCAATTTCAGCAAGTTTATGTACATCTTATAAACAGAATAGCAAAAAATAAAAAATAAAGAAGAATGGCCAATCTATATAATATAGTATAATATAATATAATATATAGGCTAATTACAGCAATTAAGATGTATTTAAAATTGCAGAATATTTAGATATATTTTAAATGATATCATTGCAGGGTTGTTGTTGTTAATTATAATCAAAACTAAAACAATAAAAAAAATTGTTAATCGAAATAAAGCTTAAATATAAAGCTTATAAAATTAAATATAATGAAAAACTTAAAACGTAAAAAAAATATATAAAATGAGAAATGTTTCAACTAACTAGTCTGAAATAATATCATTTTAAGCTAAAGTAGCTGACTAAAATTACTAAAGCTACTGCAAATACAATTTAAAAACACCAAAAATAAAAATATAAAAATTAAAGCTAATTTAGAATATTAACACATACTATAATAGTACGTTATATAAAAACAACACTATTTGAGTGTATTATTGGGATGATATTTAACACTTACACCAGCGGCCGGTAGAGGTCGCGCGCCTGCAACAATCCGAGGCTCGTGCACGTCTGACTCTGAGCCTTTTTACAGTCTATGCTCTGAGCTCTCTCTGAAGCGTCAAATGACTGAACCAACCAAACTGACATGTGTCGACAGGGTGAACGAACCAATCTATGCATTTTAAACGCCTATAAATGCTGTAAATACCACAGTGAAGATGAAAACAAACTGAAACATCATGTCCTGTCTGTCAGCATTATACACGCCTCAGTTTTAATCGCTACGATTCTGAAAGCCACTGCAATATATTGAGCTAAATATCAATCTGTCTAAAACACTCAAATGGGCCATTTTATCTTAAAAGTCTGTTTAAATCTTTGTAACACGAGTAGGCCTGTCTTACCCCATAGTCTTACCAACTTCCTACTGGGGTTTTTAGGGCTTCCGAGAAAAAATTATTGACAGGAGCCAAGCCAATGAGATCTTTCGATCTGCAAATCTTCATAGGGAACTTTATCATACAAACCTGTTAAAACGTTTGGTTTTATTATTTTAAGACGGTAGGATTTATATTGGCCTAAGTGTAAATGTGTAATGAAACTATACCTTATAATTTCATACTAAAAATTTAATAAAAACCTACTAAACTGAAATGCAGTTTTATTTTATTTTTATTTTTTTTATTTTTTTTTGGATGATATTATTAGATTTTAATGTAAGGGGGAATTGGGAAACATAAAAAACTTCGTGTGGACTGAATTATTTTGTCAAATAATGTTTTCCCCCAAATATTGTATTTCCTAACACTCACGTTAAATATAATTTAAGTTGTTCTTTATAAATAAGTTATTGTATATAAATAATTGTTCATTTATACACGAATTAAAATGTTTGATTCAAACGTTTTGGAAAGAGTCAAGCCTGGTCCGGAGGTTTGATGTTATTCATCAGTTAACTTACCACGAGGGAAAATAAATAAATTTCTGCTATAAACGGATATTATTTTACTGATACACCAAAACACATTAGAAACGTGAGAGATAATCATATACTGTAAAAAAAAAAAAAAAAAAAAAAAAGGAGATAACGAGATAACCAATCTATCTAGTCTCTTCCGGGTTTTAGGACTACAAATTATTCTCTGGAGAAAACTCCAACTCCCAGCAGTGAGCGCGGTTGAGTGCCGTTGGACCGGCCGGGAGCGCGCACAGCAGAGAGTCAGCGCGCGTTCTCTCTCTGGCAGCTGATGCTGATGCTCAGAGGACACGGAGTGATTCGAGCATCACCGGGAACCGACTGAATTATCGTGCCAAATCTTCGGTAGGATGCGTCAGGACGGATCCATGCAGGTTTGTGCTTGCGTTTATAAGCTTTAATTGTCATACGTGGCTTTATAATATTAAGTTATTTCATTATAATTACAGTTCTGCTGATCATTTCCGAATTCTGTAAATGACGTTAAGGCGAAATATGTCACAATTGATTGTTGTAATGTATTAGCCATATTCTCAATATGATTCAATCAGTCGTTATGAACATAAGGGTGAATAAAATGGATATGGTTATTGATGGAAACACACCCTAACCCTCTGTAATGTGGGGGTTGGGGGAATATTCCTGTACTAAAGCGTTTTATAGCTCTTCCTCTCTGTACATTAATCATTATCATAATTAAATGATTGTCAGCTTGACTGTATTTATTTTTGAGATGGTGTTTGAAGATTGGTTTTATATGGATGGCTTTCCAGGGTTCTTTCGGCCAATGACAAGCAAGCTCCAAATTTGATAAATGACAACTTATAACATGTGATATTTATTATGTTTTACTGTATTTAGTGTCAAAACATTTAGTGTCAGTTTGCTTTGCATGTATAATTTAGAGAAATAATCTCACTAGGCCTATATTTTTCAAAGCCTGTTCCTCTTTACTGATTTTTAAACCATACATCAAATCTGTCTTTTATAATATTCATTTTAGACATATAAAAAAAAAAAAAAAAAAATCGGATCTACCGATACATTTTCAAGAATATTTCCAAACACTAAAATGTTCACAGGGAAACTAACTTGCTAATTTAATGTACTGTTCATGTAATTATATAACATCTATTTATTTACGTGACAACTTACTGTATATTACCTACTGTATATTATTATTATTATTCATGTTTATATTGTAGTCTAATGAATATTATTGTAGTAAAAACAGAATGCAAAATAAAAGTAATAAAACAATAACCATATCACATCAGTTTTATCAAACAACTCCATTTTTAATTAATCCAAATTTTATTGTTAATAAATGTTTCTATAAGTTTCAAAATCTGCCCTTTTATTTAAAAAATAAATACATTTGTGTCCACTAACCATTATAAAATAGAACTATATAAATAAACTGATATGTTTATTGTTTCATGACTTTTTGTATGCATTCTGTTTTTACCACAATAACATTCATTAGACTACAACAATAAAACATGAATAATAATAAATGCATTTTGAAGATGTATTGGTACACGTTTGACGTGTGTGTTGCTGCAGCTGTTTGTTGAAAGCGTGTTGTCTCGTTCCAGATGGCTGCGGCACAGAAAGAAGGATCTGACCAGAACTTCGATTACATGTTCAAACTGCTGATCATCGGCAACAGCAGTGTAGGAAAGACGTCGTTCCTCTTCCGGTACGCTGACGACTCCTTCACGTCAGCGTTTGTGAGTACGGTGGGCATCGATTTCAAAGTCAAAACCGTCTACAAGAACGACAAGAGAATCAAACTGCAGATATGGGTGAGTTGGCCTACATTAGACCGCGGGTTTCATTAGACTAGCCTTGTCGTTTGAAACAAGGCCGGTTAAATTGATGCCTGGCTTGCCTCGGGTCTGTGCTTCCCAACTGGTGTGTTGCAATCCACCAACATGTTGTTCGATACACACTCCTGCTCCTCTTTAAAAGTAAATACACTAGCTTTTAGTTGCATGAATGAATACTGTATCAGACTGTTTTGAAATTATTGTGTTGTGAGATGGCCTAGGATGCTCCAGAAAATATTGAATATGATTATTGGTAAACTAACCTATGACAAGATACTCACTATCTAATGTACATTTGGTTTGATTAAAACTAGTGCTGGGCAACAATTAATCGCATCCAAAATAAAAGTTTGTGTTTACATAATATATATGTGTGTACTGTGTATATATAAATACACACATATGCATGTATATATTTAAGAAATATGTATATACTGTATATATATTTATACATAATTGATATTAAATATAAATATTTTAGATATAAAAAAAAAAAAATCTTAAATATATACATGCATGTGTGCGTATTTATAGACACATATTATTATGTAAACACAAACTTTTATTTTGGATGTGATTAATCATTGCCCAGCACTAAGTGCGATTTGAATAAGTGCGAACCGAACCCTGGTGCAAACAAGCGGACCGAGAGTCCGAGACCCACCTTTCCAAACTTACTGTGGCCCGTAAGACCTCCGTTCATCTCCGGGACACAGTTTAAGATATTTTAGATTTAGTCCGAGAGTTTTCTGTCCCTCCATTGAACATGTGTGTACGGTATACTGTCCTTGTCCAGAAAGGAAATAAAGACATCATCAAAGTAGTCCATGTGACATCAGTGGGTTAGTTAGAATATTTTGAAGCATCGAAAATACATTTTGCTCCAAAAATAACAAAAACTACGACTTTATTCAGCATTGTATTGTCTTGCGGTTCTGTTGTGGATATATGTTCATTTCGAATGTTATCGTTATCGGCCGGATAAGAAAATTTGGCCGATATATTAAAGCTGATAAATAACAGATTATTTCCTTCAGCTGAGACTCTTCAGATGCGCACTGTTCAACATGATGGTTTTGAATTGCTTGAAATATGATTGAATCACTTTGAAAAATGAAAATACAGTTCAGTGTAACATGTGCAGCGCAAGTCTGTCATATCGGCTACATAACATTATAATCAGAGCATCATAATTGTGTGCTTGGGACATGGATTTTTATGGTGAGACTTTTGTTTTTGTAACCAGGCTCTCAAAATTATATAAAAATTTAGATTTATCGGCCAAAATATCGGTTATCGGCTTACAAAAATAACTAATTATCTGTTATCGGTATCAGGCAAAATTTTCATATCAGTGCATCCCTATTCTTTTTTGATGCACATAGAGGAATTTATTCAGGAAATGTGTTTCCATCGTGGTTTATCCGACTCAAATGAGCACATAAGTTTTTTTACAGTATGTGCAATTCTAGAGCTTATGTGCATTTTGGCCTTTCCATCCAGCGATTTTTTATGCGATACCCCAAAATGCGCTTAAAATAGGTGGATGATTGGAAACGTAGCTACTGTCATTTTTAACCCCGAACCTAAATATCCAAAACAATGCTGTGTGCTGGACTAAATGCGCTCACTGTATGTGCACAGCCTACATATGATGGTATTTTGATCAGATGAGAACTAATGAAGAGCTTAAATGTGTAAAGGAGTCAAAACAGCGACAGGAATCTGTCCGTTGCACACACACGAAGATCCGCTGCAACGTTTCCGACACCTGTACCGAACTGTAATGGCCATCGTAGCTCCTATGACGAGATAAACAGGTAAACTTTGTAGGGTAGCATCTTGTGACATCACGTCCTGTTTGTGGTTCGTTTAGATGTTCGTTTAGAGGCCAAAATACGCATAAACTCTAAAAATGCACATACTGTAAAAAACGTATGTGCTCATTTGAGTCGGATAACCCACGATGGAAACACATTTTCCGAATAAATTCCTCTATGTGCATCAAAAAAGAATAGGGATGCACTGATATGAAAATTTTGCCTGATACCGATAACCGATAATTAGTTATTTTTGAAAGCCGATAACCGATATATTGGCCGATAAATCTAAATCCAAAGTTTTATATAATTTTGAGAGCCTGATTACAAGAACAAAAGTCTCACCATTAAAATCCATGTCCCAAGCACACAATTATGATGTTCTCATTATAATTTTATGTAGCCGATATGACAGACTTGCGCTGCACATGTTGCACTGAACTGTATTTTCCTTTTTTGATGTGATTCCAATCATATTTCAAGCAATTTAAAACCATCATGTCGAACAGTGCGCATTTGAAGGGTCTCAGCTGAAAGAAATAATACATTATTTATTGGCTTTAATATATTTGGCCAAATATTTCAGTCAAACCGCACCAGAGTTAGTTTGGACCGGTGGGTCTCGGTCCGCTTGTTTGGGTTCGGATAACAGCGTTCACACTTATTAAAATAAAACACATTAACAGAGCAATCGCACCAGGGTTTGTTTTAATTGAACCAAACATGCCAAGTAAGTGTGAACAAACAAACCCTATCATTTTGTTTTTGGGTCCGGACCAAAAGAACCATGAGAATCAAACTGCACGAGTAAACACCCTAAATCAAAGCCATTTTGTTGCGTCATAGTTCCAGACAGATTATTTATTTAGATTGGCACAAACATATGAGTCAGTGTGACTCAAAATGGATGAAATGTTCAAAGCAGGTGGTGAACAAGCATAAAAGTGGATTAGTGGAATGATGTTTTCAGTGGCACTGACGTCTGATATGAATGACTTTAGGAACGGATGCAGGAATGTTTTTATGTTTTAAACTAAACACATTTTATTCATGCACAATGAGGGATTTGGTTTTGCTGGGAATCAACCCTTGGACAATCATCTTTTCATGACACCAGATATAATTCTGCTTAGTATGTTGCCTTTATTTTGTCCTTATTAAATCTTCAATACAGATTTAATACAGATACCGGACCATTTTATCTAGATGATACACAAGCTGCATGGAAACTAGCCTAAAGCAAATGCCTGTGTTTAAAATTGTGCATGTGTTTTCCGAACTGATTCACATTCACGTCATTGATTGGAAGAGGTGGCTGATAACGTCATCACTTTAACGTCATGTGTGGAGAGCAAACGCTGATTGATCGCACATTCAGAGAGTTTTGCATCAACCTGCAATCCATAGTCAATGATTTCATGATGAATCACTCATTTTTACACAAGCACAGCTTTTATTATCTGCTTATTTAAGGCTCAAATATATTGTTTGTTAATAATCCTTTTAGTTGTGGTTTGTGTTGTTGGAACTGGTACTCTTGTGGTACTCTGACATAATGATTTCTGGGAGATCCATGGCATTACAAAAAAGTGTTTTTTACTGGTCGCTGAAAGCTGAACAATGTTCAACTTTGGGTAAAACGCAGCGCTCGTCACTTTTTACCCAGCCGTCCAATCACAGTGGAGAAGGGACGGGGCTAATACCACACCGACCAACCGCCACATTCTGCTTGTACGTCAACGGACGACAACAACAAGCATAATAACGTACCAAAATAATTTAAAACAAGAGCCAGAGAAAATACTTTACATTGTATCGACATTTTTATATGGAAACATACAGATGCTTTGGTGGACATAGGGGTTGCACGACTACTGATTTCTGCTAGTCGATTTCTTATCAAAACAATACTCGAGTTACTCAACTACTCATGGTTCATGCGACTGTAAATTAAAAGATATGAAATAGTTCTTATCAATAACAAAATAGCCTTTATAAAACACATAATTTTTGAGATATCATCCTCAGATTTGAAATGAAGCATGACCACAATTGTGGCTACACTTTAGTTGTGGTTATAAGTTGCAATCCTACATTCACATAATATTTTAATACATTTAATAAATATAGTATTAATATTGTTGTCTTTGTTTTTATGTTTGAGCTTATATATCTCAATATTAATAACAGTCTGATTAATTTTGAGTCTTGAATTGGAAACTCTCAAGGGTTGGCTTTCTAAATATATGTGTGTTATGTGTCTCTTCAGAATGACTTATGAGCAGAAACCTTTTTATTTAGGGTATGTCATGAATGCAGCATCACTTGCCAAAATTGGGGCTGACTTGTAAGGGGGGGTAAGCTACACTGTGTAGGATTTTCTCCCATCTAGTGGTGAGATTGTATATGACTACCAACTGAATATTACTTTCTAGCCCCTCCCATTCCGAGGGCGTTATAACCATAGATATCCATAATAAAGGCTAGATGTCTCGTCCGCGCTGCTGGCCAATGGAGGTCGAAGTCCGCACCTGGCGGCCATCTTGTCACAGGCAGCTCGCTCACTCGTAACATTGTGTTTTAATTGTGCATGTACTTTTTAAATAACCATAACTTGCTCAATCTTCTACCGTTTTTCAAATGGTTTGGTTTGTTATAAATGTCAGAGATGTAGTTATGCCACTGCATACTTATGAATAATAAGTGTATAAATAAATAATCATCCAGAATTATAGCCACGTTAATAACGTTTGTAAGAAACCAAACCGTTTGTAAATCCGTCAAGATTTCAACGAGATAAGAGTATTTGTGTTCGTGCTGATCACTCATCTTACATCAGGCACCACAGAGCCCGCCAGAAAGCTTGCCTGTGACAAGATGGCCGCCAGTGATGACGATAGAGACTCCGCCGTAAGACATCTAGCCTTTATTATGGATATTATGGTGGCCGTATTATTTCAAATCTGCCGGCAGTCGCGAGTAATCTCCCTCTCGCATTCGTCACGGTGCCACTAATTTTAAAAACGCGAAAGGCGAAGCTTGAATTTCCAGATATGTCCCTCTTTGTCTAATGTATTTTCAAGATGGATGCTTCAACATGGCTTCCGCCATTCCAGCGACTCGCTCGTGTGTATTCTAAGTGGCAGATTATACACT